TTGCAGGTACCCCCCCCCCCCCCCCCCCCCCTCCTGGCCTTAACAATCTTCCTTCAGATGGGAGGGGCTGGACTAACCTCCTCCACAATTTCCTTGATTACACTATGATGAACCTGGGTAGCCAATGGCCTCCTCCATGAAGGCGTGCCCCTGCCCCTCATTCGCCGAAGAAGCTGTCATGCCCAAACTAAAGTATTACGTAGCTGCTCATCCGAACCAGGGCGCGTAAGCGCATCTTGACGAGCTCTCAGCCACTACTGCTTATTAAACCGCCAGTATCTTTCCGCTCTTGGAAAACAAAGGCGCGGTGGTTAACACGGAGGCCGGTTTCGGTCTCCAGCGCCGGCCAGATACGTTGGCCCTGCTTGGAAAACAGAGGCGCGGTGGTTAACACGGAGGCCGGTTTCGGCCTCCAGCGCCGGCCAGATACATTGGCCGCGCTTAGCTCGCAGGGCCGCGGCCGATGTATGAGAAAGGTACTGGCGGTTTAATTGAATTGTTGATCACATCATGACGAGGTCAGCCATGTACCATAACGAGGGAGTGCAGCCATGATTGCAATTGCTTGTTGATTGCATGGCTGAGAGCATAGTATGACAACGCAAAGAGACTCCTTGGCAGCGGAGGAGATACTGTGGTGGACTACAGTGGGGTATCTGGACGTACTCTGGAACCATACCACTGCTGTGAGCAAGTCCCAGCACTGGTGCTCACTTGCACATGACGTTATAATTGATTTGTCTGCTTCCACACGCGCTCACACATCTGGGCGTACCTAGGGGAATATTCGTTGTTATTGATATGTCTGGCTCTCATCACACGTGCAGGTATCTGGGGGTATGTACGCATTGTACGGCACTATTCGTTGTTATTGATGTGTCTGGCTCAACACATGCACACATCAAGAGCCCATTACGGTAATATCAAGCAAGACATGTTATGTGCCTTCGCACACACATGACATTGTCGAGTTGTTTCCTTCTTTTTTTCGAGATCGGCATTGACATTCTCGTTGTTCTATCTGGCCGGAGATGTGGTCCTCAAAAAGTGCCATAGAATCATTTCTACTCTGAAAATATGAACCTTAACGTAACTTCAACGTTTGGAGGTGGAGGGAATACATGAACCTACAGTCAGTCATTGCGTGCTTACACCACGTAAGACTACCATAGTTCGACTGAATCTAGTCTTACATGACGTCAGATACCTCGTTGAAAAGTCCGATAAAGTCAATTCTTCTTTGAATGTGAGAAGTTGAGAACCCTTACGCTGGTAGTTCAGGTTTGAAGGAGAGAAGGGGGGAAATAAATTTAAAAAAACTAAAAGTCAGCATAGTCGGATACCTCGTCGAAACAGTTAATTCTTCTTTGAATGTGAGAACCCTCATGCTGCCTAGTTAAGGTTTGAAGGAGAGAAAAGGCGGGGATAAATGAAAAAAACTACAGTCAGCGTCGTCGTTCACGCCTTGTAGGAACTAAAACGTTTTGAGTCTTTTGACTGAATCTAGCCCATGATCCAGTACGATACATCCTGAAAAATCCAAAACAGCTATTGCTCTTCATCAGATGTGAAATTTTTCAACAATATGCTAAGCAGCTGACCTTTTTTTTTTTTTTTTTAAAGCTAGATTCTTCTCTCAATTTCACCTCACACTACCTACCTACCACTACTAATTGTAGGCATACGGGGAACCCTGTGGCAGTCAGAACCGTGTTCACGAGAGAACATGTGGGGGCTGCTCCTGACCTGCAGGTGGGCGATACCGGCTAGGGGACGGCCGGTAGCATCAGGGACCATGCCAACAGGACCAATCCCTGTGCCTCCCCTCAGATCCCCTCCCCTACGAACATCAGCAGACTCTACTCAATGCTGATCGGGGGATCCAGTGGTCTATCTCTAGGTGGCGGGCGCCACGCATGCCCTGGAAGGGACATGAGGCCAATGGGGATTGAACCCGCGACCTCCTGAATGCCACTTGGGAGCCTTACCAACTGAGTCGACGTCTTAAGTTTCTAAGGACAGGAGAGAATATATACATACAACTTCAGTTAATGTCGTCACACACCATGTAGGACTATAAAACAAACAACATAAAATCTTTTGATTTGACAGTGGCCATACTCACACGCTGACTGAAATTACGGCTCGACCTGGATGTGCATCTGACCGTAATCATGTCCAGAGCTCGGTCGAAAAAGTCCTAGTGTGAGCATGCCCTGAATCTATCTGCATCTGGTCACTGTATGGCCTTACACGATCACAGTCGTCTAAAAACTCTTAAGTGAGACAACCGTACCGAAGCTACTCAGCAAAGCATGATGACTCTGGGGCCGAAGACGCAGGCACTGAAAGGAGTCGTGAAGAGGCTGTCAGTTCTGCAGCAAGAAGCGGAGAAGATGGAGGAGACGCTCAGAGCTTATCGCTCCAGTTTGATGACCAGTAATGACGATCATTGCAAACAGATGAAGATGATGATGATAAGTACCAACAATGAGCCAACAACAAGACTTGGTATCAATGAGACAACAAGTGGTTCCTGGACATCGGCGATTCCCTTTTGCCCATCGACGGCAGGGATCAATTCGGTTATGGGGTGCAAGGCACCTGCACCTCCGAGAGAGGATCCGTGCTCTCCCATAGTGAAAACGTTAAAAAAAAAGTTTAGAATGCGCCAAGGCATGCAAGAAGGAGATGGAGACGCTGCAACTGAAGTTGCAACGCTATGCAGAGGTAACCATCCTTTGGGAGAATATATCGGTGGGGGTGGTGGCCCCTGTGGTCGCAATGGGAGCGGCGGCTGTGGTCGCTACGGCTGCTGCTGCTCGTCTCGAACTGATTCCTACAACTACGGACAGCTGCTGACGTCAACAGGCGGTGGCGGCGGCAGTCCTTGCTGCTGCTGCTGCTGCCACTGTGGCTGTGCCTTGAAAGTGACGAGAACAAACAGCCACTGCTGCGGCCGTCGAGGACTGGTCGCCGGCAATTTGAATTTGAATCGAAAGTGCCCTTGGTTGTGGGAGCAGTCCCCCTGCTGCTGGCAGTTGTCAAAAGAAGAGAGACGAGGACATGGCCATGGGCATGGCGGCAAAGAGGAAGATGAAGATGGCGATGAAGATGACGATGAAGACGATGACAGTCGTCAGCATCATGATGAGCGGTGGCAGTGGCGGCTACGACGCGGCGATCGCTCATCGCCGCATGGGGGCTTACCACTTTCTCGAAGTTTGAGCTTTGATACCATGGTGGCGGCGGCGGCGGGAGGTAAGAAGACCAGGAAGAGGGGGACAGAATTGGGAGAGAAGAAGAAGAAGAGGCTCGATCACATGACACCAGGCCGAGGACGAACAAAGGGCACACTAAGACCACCGCCTCTAGTGTACGTCAGAACAACAAGTCATCTCGGAGAGGAATTCCAAGAAGACCATTATGACCGATGTCGTCTGAAAAACCAATGCATACGCATGAAGACAAAACAACGCTCCCAGCGGAATCGCAGCAGCAGTAGAGGTTTGCGGTTTGATAGAGGGAGCAGAAGCCGGAAACATAGCAGCAGAAAGCGGTGGCAATTGTGGCGGCAGTGGCGGCGGAGGCTTGGCGCCGCTGAAACTCGCACCACAGCCACAGCCACCGACTCCGCTAGAATGCTGATTCCACCCGAGCTTGACAGCTGTGACAGTGATCTCTTACTTGAGTGCAGAAAACCCACCACTGGGAGCGCGGGAGGGGTGTTACCTGCCATTGGTCGGGAAAAAATGAGTCGCAAGGCACTATCACAAGCCCTCCTGGGGGATTGCGCTCCTAGGCATGTCAACACAGACTCGAGGTCCGCACAAAATCAGCAGCACGACCACCATCATCATCATCATCGTCCTGGAGGACACACTGTCAAAACTCGAAGCGATTACAAACATGGCGCGTACTATCAATGGAACACCGACTTGTCTGATGCCACCGACGGAAACATGAAAGGCAGCAGTGAAAGGACAGATAACGATGCTCCACGGCGATCCAAAGCGTTATTCAGACAACGACCAAGGGAGAAATGGGAGGAGGAGGAGGAGTTGGAAACTGTAGTAAGGCGAACTGACTCACATGTGGGCGAGTCGAGATCACAATCGGATTACTCGAGTCGGGGATTCCGAAGGCAAGGACGAGTTTGTGCTAGAGATGAAGTGTCAAGAGCTGAGCGCACACGTGGGAAAAATCTAACAGAAGAAGGAGGAGGAGGAGGAGGAAGAGGAGGAAGAGGAGGGAGTTGTGTCGATTGTCATCTACAGGAAGAAGAAAGGCAAAACGACGATGGCGGGAAACCAGGAGGTACTGTTACCAGCCCGCCATCGTCTAGTATGGGCTTTGCGGCTAAACAACTCATAGATAAGATCGAGACAATAGCGCCAGCTCACCATGGGCAATCTGAAGAAATGCAAATGCCAATCATTGCGATGAAACATCATCCTCAAAAAGAGTCCAGTTCTAATGGTGACTCTGTGTCGATCGGTAGAAGCAAAGAAGAGGGAGGAGGATTGCCACCTGCTGTGATGAAGGAAGGAGATGAAGAGGATGGTCGAGGAGGAGAAAGGTCATCAAACACTGTGACTGCTTTCCACGTGGCGAGAGGCAGCAGCAGCGACAGGGAAAGGCAGCCAGTAATCGAGGACACATCTGCCAGTGGAAAACACTTACGTCGATCCAGCCAAGAGGCGCCGCAACAAGACGGTCAAACACATATGGATAAGAGGTTAAAGTCTGAGAAAATTGACTCAAAGGCTGTTGTCAATAGACATCTGATTGTCCATGACGATCCCAGCGCTCAGGGGGCTGATCCTCAAGAAAAGAAAGACAGTCCTCCACGACGTCCTGCTGCTGCTCCTCCCCTTCCTCCCCCCCTTCCTCCTGCTGCTGCTACTGCCGCTGCTGCAGCTGCCCCCCATCCTCCTCCTCCTCCTCCTCCTGCTGCTGCTGCTTCTGCTGCTTCTGCTGCTTCCCCTCCCTCTCCCCCTTCTGCTGCTAGTGCACCTCCTCCTGTTCCTCCTCCTCCTCCTCCTCCTACTACTACTACTACTACTACTGCTGCTGCTGCTGTGGCTGGCGACTTAGGAAATAGGCGACCTGTAATGAGAGAGCCCAATGGAGATCATGGGCACCAGGAGCAGCACTGGCATGAAGGAGACTCGCAAGGTGAAGGATCCATGTGGCTTGAACTCTCGACAGCAACAGGTCTCCAACAAGTTTCAACAGCTGCAGACTTAGCTGGTCCCATAACACCTGAGAAAGAACACACTGTGAGCTTGATCGTCAGATCCCCTACTTCGGACGATCAGCACAGCATTCAACAAGCGGGAGAAGATTACCACCCCGCTGCATCGAGAGGGCGCTCCCAGCGGCTGACGAAGGGGGAAAAAGAAGGCCGAGAAGCCAAACCCCACCCAGACATGGATGCAGCAAAACACCTTACTGAAGAGGAGAAAGAGAAGGAGAAAGAGAAGGAGAAAGAGAAGGAGAAAGAGAAGGAGAAAGAGCAGCAGGAGAGACATCAAGAGCTCACCCACTCTACTGCTGAATGGGAAAAGGAGGAACCCCTCTGGTCCAGGTTTATGCCGAGTACTTTCCAGGAGTCACTTCCCCGCACCCCTGACCAGCAGGCTAAACCTCCACATCAAGGAGACCACCCGCAGGGATCGCTTTCCAGGGATCCAGTGTCCCATCAAGGTCAGCACATAGTAAATCAACAGAAACAGTCGCAGGTTAATATCAACCAGCTGGAGACACCCTTAACAGCAAGTGTGGCGCCTCTTGCTCCTATTGCTGCTGCTTCGAAAGAAGACAGCCCTGGAGCTCCTCTTGCTCTTATTGCTGTTGCTTCGACACAGGACAGCTCTGACGATAATTATAGCGATGAAGAGGGAAGATTCGAGATTATACAAGATGATGAGGATGAGGATAAGTACTTAGGGGTTGTAAATGCCCACGTGAGAGCGGACCGACGAGAATATCAGGATGAGGTTGGGAGAAGGACAGAGAGAGAGGCGTTTGATTGGCCTAACAAATCATGGATGCTTGAGGCGGAGCGTGAGACAACTGGAATTGTGGACCCCTCTTCACGGAGCCAACAAACTGCACGGGCGGGTACTGCCCCCCCCGACAATGAGACCGTCACAGATTGGGATGCCCATTACAAAGACGAAGTATATGAAGATGATGTGCTGGGAGCTGCAGCCATGGATTATGAAGATGCCTATAGCGCCGCAGAAAGTGAACGATGGCATTCTCCATCGCCATAGTTGTTGCGTTTTGTTTTGTTTGTTTTTCTTCCACTGCCGGAAAAAGAAGATCGGGATCCATTGCCATGATTGTTTGTGCATGTGACATATAGGTCCTCGCTTCACCGCTTGCTAGACACCAAACATGAAGTTTGGTGAGTAGTTTGGTGAGTGGTGCTGTCACTCCAGCATCTCACCACGGCCATCCTGTCAGACGGCCTATTTTCTTTGTGGTTAGTGGGCTGTTGTGAGTGCTCACCGAGGCCACCGTTTTCCCGGTCAGCAGCGGCGGACTTGTGGTGCCTTCTCTACCGAGATCGCCAAAGGTGGTGAGTATACCCCTGCCTGCATACCGTCCCGACCATCCCGCGCGACTGTAGAGGCACGGCCATCACGAGTGTGAGTTTGGTGAGGTCCATGTGGTGAGAGTGCGAGTTTGGTGAGGTGGTGGAGCGTCGTGAGAATTCACCGTGTTGCGAGAGTTGACAATAGTTTAGTGAGAATTCACTTTGGTGAGCACTTTCATCGGCAAATTCTGTTTGGTGAGTGCAGGTACCCGCAACACTCAGCCAATGTGAAAAGGGCAAGCTATGGTGTGGGTATCTTTCCACGTTCTCGCATAACATAACATTCTTCATTCGCACGTTTGGTGGGTAATGGTGGGTGAGCTCGCAGCCCGTAGGGTTGCATTTCTGCCCTTGAGAGGCATTTTCATCATTTCCTTCCACCGGTTGTTCCCTTTGGCCCAATTTTTTTTTTTTTTTTTTTTCTTTTTTGGGAGTGTGGGCCAAACTCGCAGCCCGTAGGGTTGCGATTTCTACACCCGAGTCATTTTCGTCTTTTGGTTCTACCGGCCGTTTGCTGTGTTTATGTTTTTTTCATGTTCATTATACACAACTCCAAGAGTGTGTGTGGGGGGGGTTCCGGCTGGTGCTTCACTCACAATGTTCATGGGATGCTGGATCCGGTTTCCAGCAGGTGCCGCTCCCCACCAATAGACAGGAACATTCTGCGTAAGTCCACTATAGGGGGATGCTCATATCACCTCCTCTAGTGGGCTGAAGCGGAACTTTTTGTTGGGGGGCAGGGGGAAACAGTCAGTGTGTGTGTGTGTGTGTGTGTGTGTGTGTGTGTGTGTGTGTGTGTGTGTGTGTGAGAGAGAGAGAGAGAGAGAGAGAGAGAGAGAGAGAG